TATCCAATGGCATATCATCCGATTGCATTCATTACGATTAAAGATGCACTCTATCTTTCTGTTCTTCTAATGGCCCTTTCAAGTTTCGTTTTTCTCATCGAATTAATCCGATCATCTAATCGCAATAGATGGTATAATATCAGCGAAATCAAGACATTTTCGTTGAGAAAGCTTGAGACCACTTGAAGTTGCAATGATTTCCAGTAACGCCATATTAAAATCACTTGGAAACTCACATACTTTTTTACTAATCCAGTAGTGATTTGGAAGACCTTTCATTGGTATAATTGACCAACTGCTTCGTTGAATTGACATGTAAAAGTTCTTTATAAGCATTAAAATTGAAAATTTTATTTTGTATGAACACTTTTTAAGCTTTGGTTGCTCTCAAAAAAAGCTTGACGGTATTAGGTTGTCTGTAGCAACAATGACTGTTTTTGATCTACAAATAGATTAACATACTAATGATTTACTATTCGAAGCGTAAAGACTTTAATCGTCTAGTAATTTGATCACAAACATAGCAAATGGGAAATTGACACTTTTAAGCGTATTTAAAGCCCAATACATCGACAAACTATTGAATTTGCCTATTTTCACTTATTTTTATGTGAAAATAATTGTCACTAAACAGACAAAATCACAATTTCGATATTGATTTTCGATCGATTCTGACTTTTAAAAACTGCTCATTAGACATTTAATTTGTTTTTGTTCATGATCTAATAATGTAAAAGATTTTAATACAAAACCTTGTTAATCAATGGTGGCAAACATTAAAGGGTGATTTCTCATAGCTTCGTTAAACAGACTTCATTAAGTTAAAAAAGTCTTTGGGTCAAAAACAAATTTCGAAGTTTCTTCGTCGAAATTTAAGCTAGTAGAAATACTCAAAATTTAGGCAATTTTTCAAAAATAAGAGGAGGTAAATGTTTCGGTCGCCTTGAAACTCCAAATGTTGCTTCGAGTGATAGTTTTATGCTTGGGTCATATCGAACCTGATATTTTTGTAAGATATTCACAAGGTACAAGAATAATTCCACATTGGCTAGGCCTTCACCGAGACAGATCCTTTTACCTCCACTAAAGGGAACCAAGTAAGGTGGCTTGATAGCTTTGCTTCCATCTTCAGACAGATATCGGTTGGGATCAAACTTTTCTGGTTCTATCCATATCTTTGGATCTCGATGAATGCTCCATAAATTGAAGATTACAATAGTATCTTTGGGAATATTGTATTTACCAATCTTTGTGTCTCTTGAGGCTCTACGAAGTAAATTGACCGCAACAACAGACCCAATGCGCTGAGTTTCATAAAGAAAAGCCATTGTGAAAGGCATTCGATTCCTATCCGTATAAACAGGTTCTCTTTCAAATCCAATAACATCGGCTATTTCAGCTCGTATCTTATCTTGATATTCAGGATTGTAAATCAAATACATCATTGCCCATGATAGTGTACTTGTGACAGTATCGGATCCAGCAGCAAAAAAGCCTGTCAAGTTACGTCTTAAAACTCCCATGCTAAACAATTCATCATTTTCATCTTTATTTTGGCGATTTTTTTGTTCCACCAGGTAACCATCAATGTAATCCTCTATTTCATTTACTCTTGATTCAGATTGATGCATATCGATCTCTTTTTGCAACAAATCTTCAACAGCATGTACATGCTTGGAGATCACACTTACACGAAACAGTCCAAGAGCAGTCGCTATTTTGACAAGCCAAGGTAAAAATGTACTCAATCCAGCAAATTGGAAAGTTTGGTTAACACGATCCATGTTCTCATCTAAACCGATTTTGTATGGATCGGAATAACTGAAGTTGTGACCGAACAGCAGGATTGATATATTATTCGATACACTGGGTAATAGTTTCGTGAAAAAGTCAACTTTGCCCTGACCAATGGTTGGTAAAAATTGTTTGATTTCCCTTCTTATAGCCTCTTCCATTTTACTCGTACCAAGGCCAAGATCACGAAGCACTTGCAAAGAAACACGTCTATGAAAGCGCCAATCATCACCAGACATCTCAGCGAAAGACGGGTATTTGATTATTCCTTCAAAAAACAGTTCATGGGGCTTAGCGAGTAGAGACTCATCAGCAAACGCTAACTTAAGATGATCCCAATCACAAATGACAACAACATCATGTTGTCCTAACTTTAAACAATAAACTGGTCCATACTTTTTGGATAAAGAATCAAACTGAAGGTAACTTTCGTCTTTTAGGAATGGATAATAACCAATGATTGGAAGTCCCCATGGTCCAGGTGGTAATTGGAATAATCTTTTGATTGTTGTCACAAGAAAATTAAAGACAAATAAAAATATGAGTCCAGTTGTTATACTGTATAAGGGTTGAGAAAAGACAAAATAATCGGTTAAAAACATTTCAATTGACACAAGTGGAGAAGTGAAGTTTAATGACAACAGACATAGTAACCAAGAAAACCTGGTAACAGTCTAGTTATAGCAAAGAGTACAAGAGTACTTGTGTGTTAGGAAGTACGGATACGGACACAGGGGAGGAGCACTAATTTAACACACAGTTTGATCTAATCACAAAAAAGATGCTCACATGTCTATTTCAATGCATTAATTCATAACAATGGCAATTCTATTGTTAACGGATTTTCATACCAACATTAAATGCTTGCATTAGTGTCCAAACAAATTGACAAGCAATCCACTCCAGAATTATCTCTATCATCTTTCTCAATTGAGTTATTAATCAGCGATTGATATTAAACTTAAAAAGATCCTTTCGATTGGATCCCGATTTAAAAGTCTTGTTATTTGCGCTAGTGTCCGTTTAACTAAACTGTTACCGAAAACCCATGAATACCTAAAACATTGGTTATAATCAAAGATTAATATTATATAATGTATTAATCTTTGGTTATAATGTTATTGATAAACACCGTTTGATAAGTATCGATTCATTATTTTAGGACAATGTCAATCATTATTTGAAATGTAATTAATCATAAACACTTCACGTGAAAATCAATCTGGTAATGTCTTTTTACCCAATCTTAATCTCTGAATGAGCAAACAATCGGGTAGAAAGCATTATATTTTAATGAATATATTCAGCTACATGACTAGATATTACATGTAGTTTTCTAGAAAATAAAACTCTTACATTTTTATGCAGTTGCTGGACGTGTAATATTTAATGATTTTAACAGTTATTCAACTTACCAGGGAATCTTTTCTTAATAATTCTTGGTATTTAACGTTTTTCACCATTCAGGGATGGGTAATTGGAAGTCCCCATGATTCAGGTAGTATTGATAAAATGATTTAATTTGTTTTCTTTGAAAATTGTGCACAAATATAAATATGAGCCCAGTTGCTATACTGTACAATGGCTGAGAAAAGACAAGATAATCGGTTAAAAACATTTCCCTTTTCAAACGAGATTGCGATCTTACGTTTAATGAATTGCAATTGTTAAAAAAGTTTAAATGACCTAATGAATACTGTGCGTGATCCAAGTTTCAAAAAATTTCTTTCTGTTAATCGATAAACCCAATTAAAAATTATTATTCCCAATTAATTAATTATTAAAATTATTACAACATTCTATCGTTTTGCGTTCGCAAGATATTACTTAAATCGGTTGCATCAACCCTTAAAATACAATTATGGCCGAACCAAATAATTCACAGATCCTTTGGTAGGACTTATCATTGTTTTTTATGTCAAATGTCCGTAAATCAAGTTTCATTGAGTCAATTTACTTGAATATCCTACTGAATATCTCGCCTGAAGGTAAACAAAGGAGCGATTAAAATCACTAAAACAGGGCAAAATCCTTTAATTTTTTTTAATTATCTGAGATTCTTATCAAGTAGGATTTCAGTGTATTTATTGATTTCTTGAGTTTTCTGATCGATATTTTCGAATGGATATTAAAATAAATTTAGTGAAAATTGAAATATTGATTGAATTTAGACAATGAACATTGATCTCTCCTGATTAAAACAATTGAAGAAATTTTTTTTTATTTTCTCAATTTTCCCAGCTCTACTGACAATGCTTTGTGTGAATTATTTTAAATTTTAACAACAGTTAAAAGGTATCAAAGTGATCTGCGAAATGAATAACAGTTTTGATATATCGAGTATTTTCATGATAATTGTCAACAAAAAAGGCAATAAAGGTTCTTATTTGTTATTGGCAGTCCTTTTATTACTTACAGCATCAATTGGATCTTTTACCATGTTCAATGCCTATCAAAACCTTTTGCCCGCCAAAACTTTGCGAGAAAAAAATGTTTGTGTTTTACAGCTTTTAATTGGAATGGCGATAATCCTTGCATATTTTTCTCTAGTATTTCTATGTGATTGGAAACAATGCGCGGAATTCATCAAAATTTGGACTCAAACTGGCCTACAACACGATCAAGAGGTTATCAATTATTAGGTTGGCCGGATACAGTTTGAAGCACTGAATGATGACTGGTAACTTTGTTCATTAAAGTGGTCAATAGTAATACTTATAACTCTAGGATGTGAGTATGATTTTTTTGGCGATGATGGATCTCACCTTTAATGATGCATTATCAACACGAGAATCAGTTTTATCGAAAAATGCAGGCTAACATATGTCAAAAACATTCTACGCAATCACTAAATTCTCACAACTCACTAAATCTGCTATGCTGCTAAATAATCTATA